AAAACAGTATGAAAACATTAGCCGCTACGCTAACAATCAGCGGTTACTTTGGGCCAATTTAGCTACATAGGAAATATTTTTCGGTTGTTTAAAAGCGAATTTCTGGCTGCAAAGTAATTCTGATCTTTCATCCTTACCTGTGAAAGGTAATGCCAATGAATCCAGTTTGTTTCGTAAAACCGTTGAAACAGGACTTAAGGAGGTCCCATTGCCCTGCTGCCACATAGAAGATGGCGGACACTGTTGCGTACGACTCAGCACTCCATGAGGCGTCTACATATTCATGTCTATTTGCTGAACAGGAACTGTTTTAGCTGCTAGCTCGGATGCTATAAAGATTGATAGTTTTGTAGTTCAAGAAAAAATGTTGCAGCACAGGTACATTGTGTGTAGCTCTGATGTCGTAAAGATTTATAGGTTTTGTAGCTCATAACAAAATGTCAGCAGGTGCCACGATTTGAGCCTGCTGTCTCTCCAAAATGTTGCAGCACAAACAGTCTCTGAGAATCAGATGATCATTTAAGCCCTGTGACTAAAGATTTTGATCCTAACAATGGTAATAATTATTAAGTCTTATTAATTAACAATAATAATTATTAATTGATATTAGTAATCATTATTACTATTATTTATTTATTTATTGTGTAATTATTACTATTTGTTATTAAATTAGTGTTTATTATTAATAATTATAATTATTAATTAATGAACTAAGCATTTAGCTCCTGAATTATTATTTGGCAGTTGATAATCTCTTCATTTCTTCGCATCAGACCTCCAAAAGCCACATGTCTCCATTGAGGAGGAAGCCTTTGCCATCCCACGGGTCTGCAACCAAGAAAGGAAATCTAGTCAAGGCCAGGTCGAAGCAGAACATCGGCGGATTATAAAAGAGGAGGAACCAGAACCTACAATAACTGAACAATGGGGGGAACCAGAAACTAAATGGACTAAAGAAGTGGAGGACCCAGAATTGCCATTGATAAACAAAGAACAGGAGGAGTCAGATTGTTCTTTGTTTAAACTTGAACAGCAGGAACCAGACTATTTACTAACTACACAGGACCAGAATGACCTCTACGGCAGTCAGGATGGAGAGCAGCTTGTCCAGAAGCAGTTTGTGGCTTTGATGGAGACTCCTACTCCACAAACTGAGCAGATTTTATTTAAAATCTCTCCTGTAGTTGAGGGCAAAGATCAGGAAGGAAGCAGCTCCACTGTGTCAGAGACTCAGTCTCATCCTGACACAAAGAAAAGACCTTTCAAATGTGATATTTGTGGAAAATGTTGTAAATATCAGAGTGAGCTGAAAGTACATTACAGAACCCACACTGGTGAGAGGCCTTTTCCATGTCAAACATGTGGAAAAAAATTTTCTCACATTAGTAATTTAAATTTTCACATTAGAATTCATACAGGTGAGAGGCCTTTTTCATGCCAAACTTGTGGAAAAAATTTCACTCACATGAGTACTTTAATTGTTCACAAAAAAATTCACACAGGGGAGAGGCCTTTTTCATGTAAAACATGTGGAAAAAGTTTCAAACGAATTCATCATTTAACTATGCACCAGGTAATTCACACAGGTGAGAGGCCTTTTCCTTGTGAAACGTGTGGAAAATCTTTCGCACGGAGTGCAGATTTGAACATTCACAGGCAAACCCACACAGGTGAGAGACCTTTTTCATGCCAAACGTGTGGAAAAAAATTTTCTCGCATGAACCATTTAACTCTCCACAAAAAACTTCACACAGGTGAGAGGCCTTTTTCTTGTGAAACCTGTGGAAAATCTT